GAGGAGGAGGAGGAGGAGGAGGAGGAGGAGGGAGGAGGAGGAGGAGGAGGAGGAGGAGAAGGAGGCCGAGGAGGAGTAGGAGGAGGAGGAGGAGGGGCAGGGGCAAGAGCAGGATTAGGGGACGGTGTGGAGGGAGTCCGCCACGGAGAAGCGAGGATCGAGTGTTTCTTTGGGCTCTCCTGGGCTCATCTCAAGCCTATGGGCGGGGGCTGCCAAGAGGCCCGCTGCGCGTCAACGGAGGGCCCCGTGTATTAACTTCTTTCGTCGTCGTCGTCGGTCGCGTTTCTTCGATTTTGAAGTTTGATTGATGGTCTCCAAAGGCGTTCTTGTCGCCAGGACTGAATCCGCCTCGAAGTTTTGGCCAGATTGCGCCCAAAGAGAGGTCGTGTGGCCGACTTTGTCACGGATGAAAAAGAACAGCCATGTGCCATCAGTGACTTTGTGCACTCTTGATGCGCAAGCTATGTGGTGTAGTTTATATGGCGTAAGCTACGTGGTGTAAGTTATGAGGTGTATGCATTGTGGTGTAAACTATGTGGTGCAATCTATGTGGTGCAAGCTGCGTGATGCAAGCTATGTGGTGCAAGCTATGTCGTGCACTCTAGTTGGTGACATCTGCATGGTGCAAGGCATGCGGTACCAGCCACGCGGTGCCACCTGTGGTGCAAGCTGTGTGGTACGCGCTGCGCGGTGCATGCTGCGTGGTGCAGCCAATGCACGGGGCACCCACGAGGCGGCCACGGGCCAACACCAAGCCGACGCCCAAAGCCCATGCTGACCTACGAGGTGCCCAAGGGCGGCCCCCACGGGCGGCCACCGGGCGGAACACCCGGAAGCCCACGCCCGCGCGCGCAGCGCGCGCGAGGCGCCCACGGGCGGCCACCGGGCGATGACCCGGGAAACCCGTGCCGGTCTCGCAGAAAGCAGGCGCGAAATGTGCACATCTACTGTCACCCTTGATCGGAAGCTGGGCGAGGGCTGCCACAGCCGTGGCTGCTAAAACGGCCCTCCCGGAAGAGAAACCACAACTTCCCGGAATGAGGCGCGGCCCGCGAAACAGTCAACGGGCTTCTTCCCGGAAGGACGAAGGCAACTTTCCGGAGGTCGATTCTAGCAGCCACGGATTTAGCAGCCCTTGCCCGGCTTCCGACTTGAACTTCTCGGAATGATGGTCACTGACTTCATTCGTACAACGATGAGCGGTCATGTGCCGTGGCACCCTTCCCGGTGACTGCTTCGAGTCGGAATCCCTCCCAAGTAGATTCGGTGAACCCAACCGACGCAGCGATTGCCATCGGCACGGGTTGCCAGAGCGATCCCTGGAAAGATGTGCCGAATAAGGACTCCACATACTGCTAAGACCCCTCGGAACCAACACAAGTATCCACATGTGAAGGGGGCTTCGCTGCGGGATTCTTAATGGAGGTCACTGCGCAGAGCACTGTGCGAATCTCCGTCGCAATCCTCGCAATCTGAATGCGAGAAGCAGTCTTGTGGATCACCGAAGGAAGGCACATGCTGGCGAAGCGACGATGATGCTGATTCTGATGATGATGATGGTTATGGTGATGATGCTGATGGTGATGCTGATGATGATACTGATACTGATGCCGATGATGATGGTGATGATGATTATGATGATGGTGCTAATGATGATGCTAATGAATATGAAGATGATGATGATGCTGACGATGAGGATGACTACGGTGGTGATGATGATGATGATGATGATGATGGTGATGATGCTGATGCTGCTGCTGCTGCTGATGATGATGATGATGAGGAGGAGGAGGAGGAGGAGGAGGAGGAGGGGGGGGGACAGGAATTTGTTGTTCTCGTTGTTGTTCCTCTGGGGCCGTCCTCGTCGCCACGGACTTGTCTGCCTCGAGACCCTGGCTGCAGTGCGCCCCGGGACAGGCCCGAGGTCCGACATTTTGAGGAAGACCCCAGATATCTTCTGTTTTATTCCAGACCCTGGGCCTCTCTGGAAGCCCGTTCTGGGCGCCGAGGCAATAGACCGATGGCGCAGCACGAGAGCACCTTCCGCGGGATGAGGTCGAGAGCTCCGCGGTTGGCCCGCCTCACGAACAGGTCACGACGCTGGAGGTCTGGATCCTGTTCCCCGCCACCATCAACTCGAGTCTGGGGGACTGCGGAGTGGGCGGGGGTTCGAAAAGAATCTTGCGCTCGTCTTTTCCTTATCTTGCTCCTCCTCCACCGCTTCCTCCTGCGGAGGACGACGACGACGCCGTCCGCATGGCCTGGCCGCCGTGGGCTGTTCGCCGCGCCCGCGGCGTCGCTGGCGTCGCTGGCAGCCGCCGGAAGGGACGGCGGCGGGGCCGTTACTCGCGCCTCGGGGGAGCCCTAGCCCCCCCAGGCCGCACGCGTATCGAAAATTCGGTTCGCCTCCTCCTCCTCCTGCTTCTCCTCTTCCTGCTCCTCCTCCTCGCCTCTACGCCTCCTCCGCACTTGCCCAATCTGAGCGCTACTCTCCTTTTTCTGCTGCTGCTGCGCGAACTGTCTTTTCCACCGCGACGCATCGCAACCAATCGCAATTCATGAAATCCCAGACTGTTTGCAAGACGATGATCCCAGACGACTTTGCGCCACGAAAGCTGGGTGGTGCACCAGCGTGGCTACCAGCCGTCAGGCGGGAGGAGGAGGATGAGGAGGAAGGAAAGGAGGAGGCCGCGGTGCCCAGCGGACTGCGCAAGAAAAAGGAGGAGGCGTGGCCAGGAACATCGCAATGGCCGAACGAGCATAGGCGAGCCTGATCACGGAGTGCCCCTGGATTGTGAGCCACAACAGTGTGTGAAAACCCCGATGGCCTGGACGTTCACATGTCAAACTCCAGCATAGCAAGAACAAGGAGGAGGAGGAGGAGGAGGGGCGAAAGGTGCAGGGGAATACACAGAAACAGCGCATAACGCTGAGACTGTGCGAGCGGGGCGGCGCGCATGCCGCATACGTTTCTTGCGCACAGTCGGTGACAAAACGAAGGTGCTTGTTTCAATGCCGAAATTTTCGGTTCTCTTCGACGTGTTGCCCCTGCTGCATTGTTGGCCTCGTTTCAGGCTCGGCGTATTGATCCTGCCGTTCTAATTGGCGTTCCCGCCCCAGCGAGGGCCACGCTTCTGGACACGCTCTGTTCCTCGCCGTTGCCGTCCCTTTCCTTTCACCTCCTCCGCCCTCCCCAGGTCCCTGGGGGTGCTGGGACGCGGGCAGCGCGAGCGTGGCGCTCGCGGCCTCGAGCCTCGAGTCCAGATCCTCGGACCTCGATCTGGGGCGTCTGGGCCGCCCGAGGGTCTTTTCTACTCTGGCATCGCCTTTTTTGTCGTGGCGTGGATCCCTGAGACTCTCAGCCCCTTACCCCAAGGGTGGCTTGCCGTCCCGAGTCGTCTTTTGACGGCCCTGGGACCCCAGCAGCAGAAAACTTCTGTAAAACAGGCATTCGCGTTCCCGATGTTCCTTCCGCTCCTGCCTAGCAGATTCCGCGGCGGTATTGTGGAGGTGCCCTGTTCAGTTTTTCTCGTCTACTTTGCAACATTTAGTGGGCCCATCGTTGGAGCTGCCCTGAAGTTAATAAAACAAACAGCGTGGCGAATAAACCAACCCTTTCAGAATACGAAGCGACTACAAACATGATATTCCGACACACAAGAACCCGTAGAAATATCTGCAATACCGGTGAACGCTCGACAAAGAAAAGCCAAACCATGTTGAACGTTCTCAATTTTCGGAGCTGGGGCTTTCAGTGGCCTCCCATGGGCCGAACCGCGACTGGGGCCTTCTGCGGAGCTCCCCTTGGGGCCATGAAGCGGGTGAGGGTGTGTCGAAGTGAGCCCGAGACGGCATGCGAACGTAACCACTGTGGGGGCTCCCTGTGGGGCCACGGCACGCGAGAGGGATGTCCCGCAATGGACTCGAGACGGCGTGGAAGCGCAACCATGGGGCATTCAATTGAGTTCTCTATGGGGCCACGAAGCGTATGAGGGGTGTGTCGACATGATGCCGGGACGGCACGCGACTGCAACCGTTGAGGCTTCTGGTGTGGAGCTCCCTGCGAGGCCACGAACAGTGTGAGGGGTGTGCGTAAACAGGCCCAGGACGGCATTCGAACGGAGCCTCAAGGGCCTTAGTGGACTTCCCTATGGGGCCACGAGGCCTGCGAGGGGTGTGCCGACATGGACCCGAAACAGCATACGGACGCAGCTATTGTGGTCTTCTGTGGAGCTTCCCATGGGGTCACGAAGCGTGTGAGGAGTGTGCCGAGACGGACCCGAAACAGCATGCGAACGCAGCCACTGTGGCCTCTGGTGGAGGTCCCGATGGGACCACGAAAACTACGAGATTTGTGCCGAAAAGGGCCCCAGACGGCATTCGAACGCAACCGCTGGGGCCTCCGTTGGGGTTCCCTATCAAGCCATGAAACATGCGAGGGGTGTGCCAACCGGGACTCGAGATCGCAGTCGAACGGAACCACTGGGGCCTCAAGTGGAGCTCCCAGTGGGGTTACGTAACGTGCAAGGGGTGTGCCGACATGGACCCAGGACAGCATGCAAACGCAGTCAGTGTGGCTTTCGGTGGGGTTTCAGATCGGGCCACGAAACATGTGAGAATTGTGCCAAAATTGACCGAAACGACGTGCGAATGCACTCGCTGGGGCCTTAGATGGGGCTCCCTTGGGGCCATATAGATGTATGTATGTATGTATGTATGTATGTATGTATGTATGTATGTATGTATGTATGTATGTATATATATATATATATACACGTGCTTGTGCGTGTGTGTGTGTTGCATTGAACCCGAATCGGCATGCAAACGCAGCCGCCGGGGCATTCGGTAGAGCTCCCGAAGGGTCCACGAAACGTGTGAGGGGTGTGCCGACATGAGCCCGAGACGGGATGCGAATGCAGCCAGTGTGGCCTTCGGGGAGCTCCCTACGGGGTCGCGGGATGTGTGAGCGGTGTGGCGAACAGGTGATCCGGATGATGATGGTAGTAATGATGATGAAGGTGGTGATGGTGATTATGCTGCTGCTGATGATGAAGTTGAGGAGGAGGACGGGGAGAAGGATAATGATGCTGATGAAAATGATGAAGATGGGAGGAAGAGGACGAGGGAAGGATGTGGGGCACTGATCATCCAAAGCGAGGACACAACAGCGCCCAAAACTGCCTGATGACAAAACACCACGAGGACCCAGCACATTTTATCTCGTCTACTTTGCATGGCTGTAGTGGCGAAAACTCCCCCCGCGCAAACATAGCGGTTCGTATTTCCGCCAATCGCGCGAATACCCCAACTCAATTCCCGGCGGCGGAGTTATCGCTTCATCGGTGAAATCGTCCCTCGCTTTCTCGACCCTCGACCCGCTGTCCTCGACCTTCGCTACTCGATCCTCGACCCTCGATCCTCGACCCTCGATGCTCGACCCCCGACCCCCGATCCTCGCCTCTCGACCCCCGGATCTGGGCCCTCTGGGCCGCCCGCCGGGCGCTCCGCAGCCCCGCGCGTGCCCGCGGCGGCGCCCGCGAGGCGGGCCGTGACCTCGGCGGCGGGCGCGCTGCCGGCGGCGCCTGGGGCGGCGGCGGGGGCAGGGTTTGTGCGGGCTGCCCCGCGGGTCGCCGTGCGCTCCGGCCGGGCTCCCAGGCCTCAACCAGTTTGGGTCGGGCATGTCCCCCTACAGGCGGATTTTCAGAGGAAATTTAAACATAGTCACAGCATGTTCAAGAAATGCTCAACCATAGTCGAAACATCGTCCCGTGCGCAAGAACAGTCGAGACATTGTCACCAGACTTTTTTTGCGACTGTTTCTGAATTTTCCTCCTGCGGAGGACGTGCTGCCCGACTGAAAATCCAAAGTATGGGCAAGGATCAGAACGCGGAGGCCCCAGCGGATCAGAACGCGGAGGCCCGACCTAAAATCCAAAGTACAGTCGAAACATCGTTCCCATACTGTTCTTTGGCTACCTTTGCATATTCCATATTCCTCCTGTAGAGGGACGTGCCCGACTTAAGATCCAAATGATCCCGCAATCTCCCCTGCCAGGACGTGCACTGGCGAAGCCATACAGATGACACAAGCAACATCTTTCTGGCAGCACAGCGCACATTGTTACTGAGCTCTCCGTCAGGCATGCGACGAGCAGAAACAGTTCGATATACAGTCCTGTGGCAACGAGAGGCGGGATCGTGAGCACTGAAACGAGCAACCTCAAAGCTCCAAAGTACGGGCAAGGGTCAGCGCGCGGAGGCCTGCCGCCCTTGGCGGCCACCGCGGGGGCCCTCTTGCCGGGCCCTGGGGCCGTCGAGGCACGACTCCGCGGAAGAAGCTGGTGATGCTGCTCCCATGGTACTCAAGGACCCACGGACGACATCCCAGAAATAATCTCGAGCCCCCAGAAAAGTATCGAACCAGTGTCGAACGAGTATCGCCTCCAAGGGCCCGACACGTGAAAACCTCACAGCTTCGGTCCTTTCTCGGTGCTCTGCATTCTTTCTGGTGAACAAGGCCAGAGCAGGTTGGCACATCACAGGGCTCGGGGACAGGGGCGGGACTTCTTGGGGACCCCAAGCCGCAAAGAACCGGCGCGCTTCGGCTTCCCTCGGGTCGGGCGAGGAAGAAGAGAAGGAGGAGGAGGAGGAGGAGGAGGAGGAGGAGGAGGAGGAGGAGGAGGAGGAGGAGGAGGAGGAGGGGGAGGGAGGAGGAGGGGAGGAGGAGGAGGAGGAGGAGGAGGAGGAGGAGGAGGAGGAGGAGGAGGGAGGAGGAGGAGGAGGAGGAGGAGGAGGAGGAGGAGGAGGAGGGGAGGGAGGGAGGAGGAGGAGGAGGAGGGGAGGAGGAGGGGGAGGAGGAGGAGGGAGGAGGAGAAAAGGGGGGGGCCAGCGCACAGATCCCCGACGAGATGGTCCTCCACTCTCGGCGCGTCCCTTCGGCCTCGGCCCTCGGGTGCCGCCCTCGGGCCCCGGGGACAAGCGATCAGGGGTCCGGGGCGAGCAGCGACCCGCGGGGAGGCGGTCGGGACCTGCGGGGCCGCGGGCTGAAGAAATCAGATCGACGGATGTCCTCCTCCCCCTCCTCCTCTCCTCCTTCCTCCTCCTCCTCCTCCCTCCCCCTCCTCCTCCTCCTCCTCCTCCTCCTCCTCCTCCTCCTCCTCCTCCTCCTCATCCTCCGCTTCCTCTCCCTACTCCTGGCCCTTTCGATCAGGGTCGGCGGCACCGGCCGTCAGGCCTCTCCAATCAGATCGACGGATGTCGGGGCGAAGGGTTCCCGTCGTACTTGAAAACCACATCCCAGAACAAAAAATCGAGCACCCGGAGAGCTATCGAAGCAGTGTCTGCCCGACACGC